CCTGTAGCCAGTGGGCTGGCAGCAAGGGGAGCAGCAGCAGTCACTCATGGTGGCAGGTGTGGAGGGTGGATCCTGTTCACAGGTGGGTTTTTCTGGTATGAAAAAGTCTGTTTTCTTGAGGCTTTTATACCCTAGACTCCCAATGTTGGGACCAATAAGAAGAACTTTTCCTTGTGTTTTCTTGTTGTTATTTTGGTCCGTGGTGAATTGTTAAGGAAGTTATCCTCTTTGTGTTTTAAACTTCATGAAAATTAGTTTTAATCTTTTTCCTAATTGGGAATGCTATTTATGAATGTTTTCCAGAAATGAAAAAGGCAGGATTCATCATCAGCATAATTTCCACTTATGTCATATCATCTGGTCAGGTGATCTTCCCACTGTCTTGGGGAGGGTCCAAACAGCTGTCCCTCTTGGGTCTGCTTCCTTTAGCTCCATGTTGATTGGGAAGTGCCATGAGAATTTAGGATTCTGACGTCTTTTTCTGTGTTGCCATCTTGTAGGGTCCAAGACTGATCACCCTGGCAAGTCTGATTCAAGGCTACCACAAGGGTCAAAATCTATGGCAATCTGCTCTATGGCAATGTGTATGTGGAATTTCCATCAGAGATATTTGAGTAGAAATCGATGGGCACAATTTTTTTCATATGCAAATCAGCATCTTAACAAGAAGACAGTGGCAGATTCCATGCACAGGGATTCAGAAAGCATTAGTACATACCTGCTCATCTTGATTTTTCTGGCCTGCTCAGTGAGCTCAGGTGAGATACCCCAACATACACATCCTTTCCTTTATACACTGAGAAAAACCGATTCCATGTGATGAGTCCCCAGATATTTTTAATCCGTAAACTCATACATTTTAACAAATGTGTGGACTTCTCTGTCATGATTTCTTAAACATTTTTCCTTTTCCGTGGGAACATATGTAGGTATGAGATTGTTCTGCCACAGGGAAAGTGTGTCCCCAATATTTAGATGGTAGATAACATTAGTGTAACAAAACAATATTTCAATACGGCACTATCAGTAGCATTTCCTGCTGACCCTTGATGATGTGAGCCTTCTGAATTTTACTGGAATGTACTCATGTTTTAAATTTACATTTCTTTGATGACTCATGTACAGTAAACATTTGTTACTTCTTTTTCCTGTTTCCTGAGGTGCTTGTTCAAGTCTTTTCACCATGTTTTTTCTTGGTTGTCAGTTTCTTATTAATTTCATGGATTCTGGACATGTGTTTTGGATATGTAGTATATATCTATATACATATGTATTTTTAGTGTATATGCAGAAAGATAGGTATGTATAGAAATTGTATATGGGTGATAGATAAATATCTGTGTATGTTGATTATTTATATTTAACATATTTTATCCCATTCCGTATTATCTTCCCTTTTCACTCTTTTAATTCTGTCTTTGGATAATTAGAAGTTACTACTTTTAATATTTAATATTTTAATGATACAATTAATCAATTTTTTCCTTAATTTGGCACATTAAATGTTTTGCCTAACAGCTCTTTCAGTAGCTCAATATCACGAAACTTCTCTTCTAAAAGCTTTACTGTTTTACCTTTTATACTTACATCTAAAATACAGCATTAATTGATTTTATGCAGTTTCTTTTTTTCTGAGGGAGAAAGTGCCATAGTAGACTTTTTTCTTTCTTGTACTCAGGATTGAACCCACAGGTAATTTACCAAGAAACCCCATCCCCAGCCCATTTTACTTTTTATTTTGAGCCAGGGTCTCACTAAGTTGCTTAGGGTCTCGATAAGTTGTTGAGGCTGGCCTTGAACTTGTGATCCTCTTTCCTCAGCCTCCAGAGTAGCTGGGATTACAGGCGTGTGCTGCTCTGCCCCTTGCCATGGCAGGATTCTGATGCGTGCATTCTGTGTTTAACTGAAACTCTAATGGTCCCTTGTGTGTGGGGGTCATATAAAACGTAAAATAATATTATATAAAATTGAACATGTAAAATAGTATTATGCAGAACAAGTGGCAGTCAGATTCTTCCCTAGGGTTAGTTTGTTGTTGCTGTTTCTTTGTGATTTTTTTCTTAACAAATTCTGTTAAGTTGATAATCTTGATCATTTGTAGTCACTGAAACTTCTTCTTGGCCAGGTAATAATTTGACAGAGATTTCCTTCAACATCTCAAATGAACACGTGTTCCAGTCCTTGCTGAGGAGCCTCGAGCACCTGTTGGGGTATGCTTCCAACACTCAGCCAGACAGCTGACGTCTCTGCCTTAGCTTTTACTTCCTACTTGCTCTCCAGAGCTTCACATCAGCCAGAGGTGAGAGCTTAGAGTTTCCTCAGATCTAACTTGAGCATGCAATCCCTTGCCACCTGTGCACAGCCTCCTAGATTCCCAGGGGTATGTCAGAGCTCATCAAAGTCCCTGTGGACACCTCAACCTTCAGTTTTTCTTCTTAAGGTTTTGGTTATCTTATTCTTTCCCTAATCTCTACCCACCATCCTTGAGCAGATATGCTGTTAAACCATAGCCTCCCTTTGTTTAGAGCAAACATATCCCAGACTTTCATACTTAGCAAGCTCTAAATTAGCTCAAATAAAGACAGCCTTGCAAAAATATATCCTGGAAATATATTCTGACCACCAGACAGATCAAATAATGACACTTCTCTAGGAATGGACTTAGCCCTGTTTTGTCCCCTTGGGTGGCTGTTGGACTGCCAGTTCTTGCCATGATGATAGGCTGTTGGTTTTCAAGGGAGCTGGTATGCTGGGTGAGATGGGAATGAAAATAGAGCAAGTTAAAAGGTCACAAAGTCATTGTTCTTACAAAGGTGCAGACTTTTTTTCCTGCATAATTGCTTCCCAGACTATTTCAAACCTTTGGTTAATTCCAGAGTACTGAAAAAATTACTTTAGTGGCCCAGATCCACTCAAACTGGCCTGCACAGGACCCCAGCTCACAGTAGGCCCCTGTCCATCCTACCTCCTGCAGATACCGTGGGAGCCCAGCCCTTCGGTAACAGGACCACCCCTTCTGACCAGCAGACTACCGCAGCCTGCAAGGGACTAAAGTTATAGTTATCTTATGTTAGACAAGATGCCAAAAACATACATTGGAGAAAAGATAGCTTCTTCTACTTATTAAGGAAGATTAGGCCCTAAGAAACTTAGTGAGACACTGCCTCAAAATAAAAAGTAAAATGGGCTGAGGATGTGGTTTATTGGTATATTACCTCTGGGTTCAATCCTGAATATAAAAAAATAAAAGAAAGAAAGAAAGAAGAAAATCTACCATGGTGCTGGGAAAACTGGAAGTCCATATGCAACAAAATGAAATTAAGCCCCTATCTCTCACAATGCACAAAACTCAACTCAAAATGGATCAAGGACCTAGGAATAAAACCAGAGACCCTGTATCTAATAGAAGAAAAAGTAGGCCCTTATCTTCATCATGTGGGATTAGGCCCCAACTTCCTTAGTAAGACTTCTATAGCACAAGAATTAAAATCAAGAATCAATATATGGGATGGATTCCAACTAAAAAGTTTCTTCTCAGCAAAAGAAACAATCTGTGAGGTGAATAGAGTCTACACCTTGGGAGCAAATCTTTACCCCTTACACATCAGATAGAGCACTAATCTCTAGGATATATAAAGAACTCTAAAAGATAAACACCAAAATAACAAATGACCCAATCAATAAATGGGCCAAGGACCTGAACAGACACTTCTCAGAAGAGGATATACAATCAATCAACAAATATATGAAAAAATGTTCATCATCTCTAGCAATTAGAGAAATGCAAATCAAAACTGCTGTAAGATTTCATCTCACTCCAGTCAGAATGGCAGCTATTAAGAAGACAGACAACGGTAAGTGTTGGCGAGGATGTGGGGAAAAAGGTACACTCATACATTGCTGGTGGGACTCCAAATTGGTGCAGCCAATATGGAAAACAGTATGGAGATTCCTTGGAAAACTGGGAATGGAACCTCCATTTGACCCAGCTATCCCTCTCCTCAGCCTATACCCAAAGGACTTAAAAACAACATACTACAGGGTCACAGCCACTTCAATGTTTACAGCAGCACAATTCACAATAGCTGAACTATGGAACCAACCTAGATGCCCTTCAGTGGATGAATGGATAAAAAAATGTGGCATTTATACACAATGGAATATCACTCAGCAATAAAAGAGAATAAAATCATGACATTTGCAGGCAAATAGATGGCACTGGAGAAGATAATGCTAAGTGAAGTTAGCCAGTCCCCCCAAAACAAATGCCGAATGTTTTCTCTGATATAAGGAGGCTGACTCATAGTGGGTAGTCAGGGGAGCATGGGAGGAATTGATAAACTCTAGATAAGGCAGAGGGTGGGAGGGAAAGGGAGGGGGCAGGGGGTTAGAAATGATGGTGGAATGTGATGGTCATCATTATCTAAAGTACATGTATGAAGACATGAATTGGTGTGAATACACTTTGTATACAACCAGAGATATGAAAAATTGTGCTCTATATGTATATTATGAATTGTAATGCGTTCTGCTATCATATATAAATTGAAAAAATTAATAAAAAATAAATGAGTAAATAAATAAATTGCTTTAGATCATTTTTGCCAGTTTTCTCAATGTTTTCGTGGAGGAGAAAATTTGTGCAAGTCCTTACTAGCTGTGTTTACTCATGCACTCTATTTTTATAGATATTTGTATCAGAAGAGTCCCTCCTAATCCTAGTCTTGTAAGGCTTTTGTTTTAAATCATGCAAGGTGTGTTCAAAGTTGTCCATAGTAAGTTAATCGTAGGAAATGCTTATTTTCTTTTGTTAAGGGGTCCAATTACATTGAATAAATTTCAGCTGATTTGCATTACTGAT